AACTCCATTAATACCTCGGCTATGCTGAAGTTTGTGCTTCACTCCCTGATGGTTAACGATGGAATAATTGTGGATGAGAATCTACTGCTGGATTACTCCTTAGATCAGTGGATTATCATATCAGTCTCGAATGATGCACGATCTTCGAGAAAATCTCATTCTTGTACTCTGGACTTCTTTTTAGCCCTCGATGCATGTCCGTGTATGCGATCACTTAATTGAAAACTTTTATCTCTTCTTGTGAAAATTTTCTCTCGAATATCCCCTTACGGATCAACACTTTTGCATTATGATGATGCAATGCAATGCAATGCAAATGACAAAATGACACAAACAAAAGATAAGAAATAAGTTAGTATACACAAACAAAAGAGAAAAATAAGTTAGTACATGTAAAATAATTGATACAAATAAAAACGAAATTCAGAGATGAATATGACACCTACCCGTTATGATATCTATCCAAACATGCTTTCAATAAATAACATTCCTACCTAGACATGCTATCTACCCAAAATGATCTATTTTCAAGAAATTGGTCCTAACTGCATGGTATCTAGTTCGCATGCTTTATTTGGGAAAAAAAATATATTCTACAAATTTAAAAGGTTAAGGTTTAGAATCGTTCCTCTTTCGTGTACACCTATTTTGGGTACTTACTGACGGACAAAGGTTCGGTATGACTATACCTAGGGTGATCGTTTGACGGTTCACTATATGCTTGGTTTCGGTTCTAACGGAAAAAAGGGACTCGAATTGTCCTTGATGTCGGTGCCCCCTTGGGCTGCCAGACCCTCGATCCTCACCCATTACAGGTTTCAACGGAACGAGTTCAATTCGAGGGGATTCACTATCTTATACCCGTACGAGGAATAAATCCCAACGAAGGTATAAGGTATGTATCCCATGGGTTATTTGCTAAAACTCATACGAAGAATAAATTCTTACGAGAGTAAAGCACTCACCCCAACTAATTTGGATCGAAGCTCGTGTCTAGAGCTTATGTTATGCCAATGCGAGTGATGTGTGTGAGGAGGAACATACTTACCTTCGACTCCAAAGGAAAACAAAACAAGGAAAAATGATAAAATCCTGACAAAGCTGAAAGCCAAAAATAAAATGTTAGTACGACAAAAAAACGACAATTAAAAATTTCAATAAACGGATCATAAATTAACTAAAACTAGAAATCATAATTTCCACCAAGATGACAATATGTAAACGACATACAGCCTGACTCTCTAAAAAAAAGTCCCCAGCAGAATCGCCAAGCTGTCATAACCATTTTTTTTAGGTAAAACAATTAAATATTATTTTAAAAACGATTACGACTTTATTTTGGAAAAATTTGGTGATTTTGAATTGATTTGAATAAAATTGAAAAGAGTCGCCATCGATCTTTAGATTAGGCAGGTCGAATACCTAAAAACGTCTTTTAAAATAATTTTAAGAAAAATCATTTTTAAAGACAAAAGGGGTCTACGTTTACCAGAAAATCGATTTGATGGGTTCGGGAGTCGGTTACGTGCGGGGAAGGATTAGCACCCCCACAGCGCCCAAAATTGGTACTGTATCGCTTACATATCGTCGTGATGATGGAAATGATAAATCGAATATAAAATTAACCTATGATCTATTTATTGAGATTTATTTAATTTGCCTCGAATTATTTAAAGAAAATCCTTTAACTCAATCAGAAATCTTGAAATTTACAATCCTCCGTCGGGAAAGCTATTTCAACTATTTCTCATTCGTAAAAAGAATATTCTACCATTGATTATGTTAAAAATACAAATCGAATATAACTAAAAACAATGTTTACATACGAATAAATTGATTAACTAAAAACGTGAATTGAATACAAATTAAAAATTTTGGAATTTACATTCACATAAAACAAAGTAAATTGTCACTTAAAATAACACACATTGCATCGTTTGAACAAATTAATTAGCAAAATATACTCAACTTATTTCAAGTTTCTATGTCGTTAAAATGCCGTACCGGATCACACCACTTCGACCAAGTGGTACTTTCCACGCTCATTCTACGCATATGTATTCTTGAAAATAAAATCGAAAATCAAATATTTCATACATAGATACAAATATAATGAGAATAAATGTAATTGGAAATACAAAATAAAAATATTTACATTAAATGAAATTAAAAACATTATTTACATAATACAAATAACCGAATAACCAGTACAATAAAATCATACATAAATGACTGAAATAAAATATTCACAAAGATCAGGGATAAATTCGAACATCTACCAAAATACCTATCATATGAAATCAGAGACTAAAACGAAATTATTACAAACATTGGGTCTAAAGTCAAATATCCACAAAATGACATAACATACATTAATAGGGCTAAAATAGAAATACATAAACATAATGGATTAAATTAGTAAAAGCATAAACTAACAGGGCTAAGAAGTAATTACCATAGTTCAAATTGCACATATTAAATAATACAGGTGTTAAAAATGAAAATAGCCCATAAATATTGTTAGTGACCAAAATGAGATAAACAGAAAGATAAAGGATCAAACTATACTTAAACCAAAAGCCCAACAATGATTAAAATAAAAATCCTACAAAAGACATGGCCGAATTAAAACATCAAAGAAAATACACCATATATAAAATTAGTGACTAAAATGAAATAAATCACATATCAGGGCTCAAAACAAAAGTATTTGCCCAAAGCACACTAGTGATCAAATAGGGATCAAAATGAAAAGGTATAAAATATCAACTCCAAAATAGAATAAACATAAATCATTAATTGATGACCAAAATGAAAACTACATGAAATTAACAGCTAGATATATAAACATTTAAAAGACATAATACAGGACTAAAATGAATTAAAACAAAACATTAAGACCGACTAATAATTAAACCAAAAGTGAAGCAGTGACTAAAAATAAAATATTTAGAAATGATATGACCAGATTCAAATGTCAACAAAAATACACAACACAAGCTACCAGTGACTAAAATAAAATAACTAAAAACATTGATACTAAAGTAAAACATACATAAACATGACAAAGTAAACAAACTAGTGACTGAAATACAAATATTGTAAAATACACGTCTGAAACAGAATATTAGAAATTTCGTTTAATGATTAAATAAACAGATTACAAAATATGGGGGACCAAACATGTAGTTAACCCACAATCCGAAAACACGCATAAGGTCCCCAGATGAAACGGCGCCGTTTTGATTGAATAATATAAGCCCAAGATCGGGCTTGCTTACCCATTCATCCCCATTTCTCATCTCTTATCAAAATAGAGAGGAGAGAGAGATTCAAAAATCTCTTAAACTCCTCTCATCGGAGAGAGGGACCCGGCTGAGCTTGCGGTAGCAAGCAGCGACGCACGACTGCTGGCGCGGCGGCCGGAGGGACCAGATGGTCCCAAAAGCATCCCCTCACCCTCCTTTACCAGAAACCTAAACCATTTTCCTCTAAAAACCACCTAACAACCCTAGATCCAAGATTATACCTCTCGAAAGCTTTGAACTCCGGCGACCACTTGGCTTTCCGGCACTCCTCCGATGAAGGTATTATCCTCTCCTACTCCTCTTTTTTCTTTTTCTTTTTTTTTGGTTGTGGTTCGAATCCATCCCCCTTTTTTCTTCGGTTTCTTTCTTTTATTGATGCATGTGTTGATATCTTCTAACTGATGGATGGTTGAGTTCGTAGGGAATGATATCCCTATACTCATGCCGTCATCTCTTGGATTTGATTAGATTTGCTTGGATTTTTCTAATTTTTAATTGATTTCTCTGCTATCTCACTGTTGAGGGTCACTGTGGATGACGGATGAACTGGAGAGATTGGCAGTGGCTCGAGAACTCACCAGCGGCGGCTCACTCGGCTCGGGAGTGACCGGTGAAAACCACGCAAGGCTGGGGAAGCTAAATAGCCAGAGGCGGCTGGCTGGCTTGCTGATGAGTTAGGTCGGCGGCTGCCATTAGGGGATTAGGGTTAAAACCCTAATTTGTTTTAGGGTTTGAAACCCTAATCTATTTTAGGGTTTGAAACCCTAATCTGATGGGTTGGTTCAGGGTACTGGGCCATTAGGTTTAGCTAGTTAGGCTCCGGGAATGGACCTTCTGTAATCTGGGCTTAGTGGCCTACAAAAATTGTAATATGTAATTAATAAACATAATAATAATAATAAATAATAATAATAATAATAATAAAATTAAAATTAAATTAGATAGGAAAGACCCGGACAAAAACGGGTGTCTACACCCAGTAATCATTTTCCCTGGTAATATTTTATTCACACTGATAATCTTACATTCCGTGAATCAAACACACCCTAAAATCACTTAACATTCCCGTGGATCATTGCATACAAAGGCTCCACGTCATTTGTAATCCAAGTCTACTCCACTTGTCAAATTTAGGATTTTTGGTTCAACTTAAAATTAAAATAATATATATATATTTTTTTTGGTAATTGTCATGTCATCAAGTAAACATGTTAGTAATGTTATCTAAGGTAAAAAAATTAACGGTTTTGTTAGTTAATATGGTAAACATATAAAATGATATAATTAAATATTTTCGATGATAAAATTAATGCGAAATACAATAGTGACAAAATTGATAAATTTAACTTATTACAGGAGTAACTCTGTCCCAGTTAATTTTATTATATCTTAATTAAAAAATTAAATAATTAACGATCATCTGAGAGATATAATAAAATAATATCTTATAATTAAAGAACCATATGTGTAATTTACCTAAAAAATAAAATAAAATGTAGAATGTAATGAAGTCGCCACTTGTCCAAGTATTTTATTAAGTCCGATCCACAACTTCAGCTGCCTTGTCGTATAAACAAATATAAAAGTTAATATATTTTTGTAGCTTCTAAATATGAAAGTTTTAGTTGAATTCACATCTACACTCTTCCCGCATATTAAAGATACTCATTTTAGCATTTTTTAATCTCATCAATGGCGATTCTACCAGAAAGTACAGTGGAAGTAGTTGAAGACGAGAGCCATGTTTCTCCTCCACCAGGCTCAGTTCCGGCAACTTCTATCTCACTCACCTTCTTCGATATAATTTACCTTGTCACTATACCAGTCGATTGCAACTGGATGCAACGCCTGTTTTTCTACGAATCCAAACACTCCGCCGCCGATTTCATCGGAAACATTCTTCCCGGTCTCAAAGCATCTCTTTCGCTCACTCTGCAGCGGTTCTTTCCTTTCGCCGGCATCGTCGTGTTCCCTCCGCCGCCTCGGATGCCTTACATTGTCTTAGCGGAGGGAGACTCTGTCTTGTTTGTCGTTAAGGAATCGTCGGTGGATTTTGATCATCTGGTCGGTGATCATGCGCGTGACCATGATGGGTTTCTTTCTCTTGTACCCCGAAAGCCACCCGCGATTGAAAGGATGTCCGTTGACGGGTGCAGGCAAGAGCCAGCCATGGCGGTTCAAGTCACCGTGTTTCCCAATGCAGGGTTTTCCATAGGCGTCGGCTTCTCCCATAATGTAGCCGACGGGATGACGTTTGCTCACTTCATGAAATCATGGGCTTCCATTCATCGGAATCGAAAGGCTCCGGACGATCATTTACCGATTTTCGACCGGGATTCGATCGACGATCCTCTCGGATTAGCACCCCTTTTGATGAACAACATCGGGATGACACTCCAAGGCACAATTTCACCCAACAGTTCCTTCAACAATCTCCGGGTCACATTCAAAATCAAACGGTCTCAAATCGAGTCACTGAAAACCGAGGTGAAAACAAAGTGCAACGAACTGAACGGATCGACATTTGTAGTAGCATGCGCTTACATCTGGGTTTGCTTGACCAAACTACACCGATCATCAACACACTCCGATGAGCTTTCTTACTTCCATTTCCCGGCAGATTGCAGAGCCCACCTAAACCTACCCCAAACATACTTCGGCAACTGTCTTACACTACGATTAACATCGGCAAAGAGGAGCGAGCTGTTAAGCGAAAACGGATTTCCGGTAGCTGCAATCGCAATCGAGAGAGAGATCACGGAATTTCGGAAACAACCATTCAAAGATGCAACGAAGTCGTTGCTAAAAACGATTGAAAAAAACAAAACGGAAAAGGATATCGTCTTGCTCGTCTCGTCTCCGAAATTCGGGTTATACGATACGGATTTCGGATGGGGGAAACCCAGAAAGACGGAGGTCGGAATGCTTCAATCAATTGGGCGTCGTTCCATGGTTTGTATATCGGAGAGCAGAGATGAGGAAGGCGGTGTCGAATTCGGGTTGGGATTTGCTTCCCATGACTCGGTTAATAGCTTCAATGATATCTTCATGGAAGGGTTGCCAAATTGATACAGGTTGATTACATGCAGTTGTTATTCCAGTTGGTGTTAGATTTAGTGGTTTCTCCGGTCGAAAATATTATCCGAATTTATTGAAAAATCTTCTAATATTTTTAAATTTCAAACTAAATCTTTTCGATGTCAGTTTGAAATCAAATTATGTTAAATCTTACAGGTGAGCGTAATCTTTTCATTTATAAAAAATTTGACCTTTTACGACGATTGTCGTCTTAGAAATTTGAGAACAATAAGATTTTAGCGTGTCACCTTAGTTTTTCTTAGCGACATCTAATGATAGTAATTATAATAAAGTGAATCAAAAGTTTGATGATTATAATATCAGTTTTAAAAACTTGGTGATCAAAACGAAAATACATTAAAATTTTATCGACTAGTAATATGATTTATCATATTTTTTATTTAAATATTTAGGTAAACTATATATTTAGTACCTAAACTATCAATTTTAGTTTGTTTTGATACTTAAACTTTTAATTTTTTCAAAATCATACTTAACGTTTTCATTTCATTTCATTTTAGTATCTTCAGTTAAAAACTTAACGTGTTTAGTACCTTAACTATTAGTTTCGGTATGTTTTAGTACCTAAACTATCAGTTTCGATTCGTTTTAGTACCTAAACTATTAGTTTCGGTCCGTTTTAGTACTAATCTTTCAATTTTTTCAAAACTTAACGTTAAATTTTGAATGAAGTATTAAAATGAAGCAAAAACTAAACTTTAAGTATGGTTTTGAAATAATTGAAAGTTTAAGTACTAAAATAGATTAAAACTGATAGTTTAGACACTAAACGCATAATTTACTCAAACATTTAACTATTTATAATCAAAAGAAATACCTAAACAATGCTCTATTACTATTTTAAGTCCCCAATCATGTTCAATCTTTGAGATTGAATCCACAAGATCTTTTGGGCATTTGTTGGGTAAATATATTGCATTACAATTTACTGCATGCAACTTGTCCAATTATTGATTCAGAAGTCAGATCTAATCTGAAGAAATAATTATTAATTCAGATTTGCAACTTCAAGAACCATATCATATATATATATATATATATTATATAGTTAAATATAAGGTAAATTACACCGTTACTACTCTCTCTTTTATTTTATTCATTATATTTTTAATTTTTCTAATTTACTCATTGAAATTTACAGATTAAATCATTTTGTTCACTCTGTCGTTATTTCACTAATGTTGTGATGACATGTTTTTTCTTATTTAATATAAAATAATTGAAAATATAAATAGTAAATTATATTGTTCTTCACTGAATTTTACTCCCTTACCTATTTTGCTCACCCAACTATAAAATAAAACAAAAGGTGGTCGGATACCACCGCCAGCCACTTAGATGGTGGTACTTCAGTCCCAAATTTCACATGTCGCTTCGTATCAATACCTTGAGTCCAAATCCAACCTCCATTTTGTTGGAACTTACTCTGAAGTTCACGAATTATAGATTGAAAGTGAGGAAGCCAAAATGTTTCAAATAAGATTAACAGATTTTGGGACATTTTTCGATGAAGCAACCACCAGATTCAGACTCAAACAGTCGATACGAACCAACTCATGAATTTTGAGACCGAACGACCACCATCAACGACGATAAACGACGACTGGAATGAAAAACGACGTGTTGTTCGACGGCGACAACCAATCATTTTATTTGCAAAATAGAGAGAAAATGAGGAGAAAGAATAGAATTCAAAACGACGTCGTTTTAATGTTTTTGCCATGTCATAAGATCGTTAAAAAATTAAAGACAAAGTGAGCAAAATGATTAGATCTGTAAAATTCAGTAAGTAAATTAAAAAAATTAAAAATACAATAAATAATATAGAATAGATAATAAAGTTCAATGAGAAACAGTGTAATTTACCATTACATATAATATGACAGTTTGGTTTTAAAAATAATATATTTAAATTATAATTTAAAAGATGAAGTAAAATTGATTTAATATTTTTAACATTAATTGACAATGCACTCTGTCAAAGGGAATATGCAAAAAGAATTTAAAAGAGACTGGCCATCAAATAATTGATAAAATTCTATAACATTCTTCAAAAAAAAAAAAATCTTCTGTGGCTACCATTACTAGAAGCAGACCAAGAAGGGTTCTTCAAGCCAATTCATGTTCATGGTATAACATGAAAATTGTAAAAATATGAATAGCCCGTCAAAACTGTGCAAACCCTCCCTTTGCCCCTTCTTTTCTTCTAACTGTGACATCTAATAGAACACACATACGAACATCGACACGCATCTGTGGATCCACCGATTGCAGCGATTATATTCTACTGCTTCTTGCATTCCTGAGGCCTCTCGCCCTGCTGCTCATCCCATTGTGCTTTTGACCCTTCTTCATCTTCCTCCTCATCGTCGTCGTCATCATAAAGCCCATCATCTTCATCGGTGTCGTCATCATCTAAATCAAAATCACCACCCTGAATAGCTTCCCCTGTGAACCATGACACAGCATGTGGAATAATCTTGTATCGAATGGTTGACCTGCAAAAAGCACATTTCATAACATTCCTACATGTAATAATGCTTAATGACATCTCATTAAAAGCACGGGTGTAGTTCAAACTGTCAAATAAGCCAATGACTAGAATATGCTGAAAAGGGACACACCCTACGTCATAATCTTGTTCCATTTGATTTTTTAACTCCTCAGCCTGTGCAAGAAAGTAAAAAAAAAACATAAGAATAGCAGAAGTAATTAATCAATCACCAAAGTTTATATAGATATGGTGATGTTGGGCATACAGTATCTTTATCAAGGATTTCATGATCCTTGGGAACTTCTGGAGGATCGAAGAAGTTGAAGAAACTCTCGCATTCTTCAGTTTTGGTCATTGGCTTGCCATTCTTTGATCCCTTCTTAGGCCTCTTTTTAAGAAGCTTTTGCGTTAAGCATTTTCCAGGATACCATTCAATTTCCGTCCTACATGTTAGGGGCAAAAATGTTTTAGTAAAACAAATTAAGAAACCTGATAACCTTGGATATCGAATAATCCAATAAGACATTTTTTAAAAACATGAAAATAGAATTTACCCAGTGGCTTTCTCAAGAATGGGTTCATTCTCATCAACCATGTGATATGTTTTCGTCAACACAATGTTCTTGAAATAAGGATTGGTGTCGAAGTAGAACTCGAGCTTGAATCCTTTGGGTTCCTCAACCTTAGACCACTTGATATCCTTGAGATATGTGAGAGCTTCCTCATCACGCTCGGTAATCTGATTTCAAACACAGAAAGATGTTAAGACAAGCCCAAGTATTTGCAACCCAATAAAAGGTCACTGCGACAGATAGTATAACCAAAACTCACCTCATCAGCAACAACTTCATTGTTCTTCATCGCAATAAGCCAAAAGTCGGGCACCCCTTTCTCTGCGTAAAGCATAATTTCCTAAATACCATCCACATAGAAAGAAAAAGCTGTTACAGTGGGGTGTCTGATTGAATAAGATCAAACCTTGAGCATCCTTATCCTCTCCTTGGTCCTCCGAGGCTGTTTCAGTTTTTGTCCCTTCAACCTCGACAACACCGTTCACAATGTCGTATCGCTACAAGAAGTATGATAATAAGTCCGGTAAGAAAACAACAATAACCAAATGGACCAAAACGGAACCAAAATGCAGACCTTGGCATATAAGGGTTGATATAGTTTCTGATATTTAGCTTCTAGAGCTGCCCTTTCCTCGAAAAACTTAGCCTCCAATTCATCGTGTTGGCTCTGCAAAAAATAAATTCCAAGACTATCAAAAAATTCATTCCATTCAATAGAAATTAGATTACAACAATCAAATTCATCGAGACGACAATCGAAAGTAGCTTCATATCATGAAAATTGAACTTTCCAGCGTATCAAAGTAAATCCAATCAAAATTCAGCACATTGACATGAATGATATCTTAGTAAACGCTTAGCACATGCCTGGATCACTCTAAGATCATCAACACGCTGCCTGACAACCGGTGACAGGCTCTCCATAATATCATCACCAGCAAGCATTTGAAGCTTATCCTGCAAAGCCAAGCCATAAAAAACTGGAGAGAAAAAAAGTTCAAAAACTACACAATGAAACCAAAAAACAAATTCCGAAAGCCACCGACTTTGAGAGCGCTAACGATACCAGTTCGAGCTTCCTCGTCAAGTGCTGCAACCAAAAATAGAAACCCAAAAAACAGTGAGGGAAGTGATAACAGTGAAGCGGTGAAAAGTGGAAGATTGAGAACAGCAAGAGATTACTACCATCCCTGAGACCGGACAAGTTGAAGCTAATCCCTCCATTGTTTGCCATTGTGAAGAAAGAATTTCAATAAAAAAAGAGAGGATGATTTTATAAAGAATATGATAATCCAAAACCCTAGATGCGATTTGGGGGAGAAAAGATGGGAATTTAAAGGGGTTTTGGGTGAGAAGAAGAGGGGTGTCATTACCAAATCCTATCCCCATTACCATATCAAGACTCAAATCTATCCTCTTATCAAAATTTTAAAATATTTTTAAAAAAATAAAATATCCATAATTTGATAATTAAATATAAATTTTAAATAAATTTATATTTAAAATATATTAAAATCCCATTTATACTTAATAATTTATAATATTATAATAATTTTAAAATTAAATTAATAATTTCTTCAATTGAGATTACGTCATCCGTTACGTTAATCAGAGATTTCTAGTGTTTAATAACTTCAAATTGTTTTATAATAATTTATTTAATTCGATTAACGTCACTCGTGACGTAAACTCATACGTTAATGTTCGTTACATTATAATCATTAGGATAACATTCTTATAACTAAATTAACGTAAGAAATAACGTAAACACAATATAAGATTTATTATTATTACTAAAGATTTATTACTAAAGATATATAATATTGATGTTTAAATTTAAATTACGATATAATATTTTATTGGAAATTTTATAAATGGCGAGTGCCAAAAAGTTAAGTTTGAAATATTCTTGGTAATATTGTTGTACGAGATTTCGTTGCCATGAATAGAAAGTTTCAAAAGTTATAATTGGGACACTCAAATAAAATTTTCTTACAATCAAGTCATTCTTTGTTATAAATTAAATGAATGTACAATGAGACTTGGTTTAATAATCATTTTAGTCCTTAAAACTTAATCATTATATCAATTTAACCTTATAAAATAATTTAATAAATTTAACCGTTCATATTAAAAAAATATCATGTTAGTCACTACTTTTCCCCCCAAATTATTTGTTCTTCATTGTTCATCGTCGTCATCAACCAACGATTCATCATTTCTCGTTGTCGGAACCGTCTTTTCGGTTGGGCCCAGAATTGGGCTTCGACTTGGATTAAATGAATTGGAGTCGCCACCGACCACTTTAAAATAAATTTAGGCGGGTCGGATACCATCTTACATGATCTGCGTTGTACCAAAAACGTGTCGGGTTCGGGAATCGGTTACGGTCAAGGAAGGATTAGCACCCTTGAACCGCCCTTTCGGTACCAATTAATTTTTCGGTTGTCTTTAATTGCAAAAATTTAAAAATTAAAATTAAAATTTAAAATATTCGATTCGAATTGCTTACCTTTGATCGTTTGAAATTACCACTGAAAATGTTGAAAAATGTTAAATGGTAAAATAAAAAATAATACGAAGAAAAAAAGTAGGTTAGTTTAAAAAAGGAAATAAAACAAAAAGGAAATAAAAAAATTAAAATAATATAAAATATATATAGTACAAAAAAATAAGTAATAAAAAATTAAAAATAAATAAATAAATAAATAGTATATATATAATATAAAAGAAGTATCAATTAAATGATGAAAAAAATGAAATAATATAAAACAAAACAAAGAAAGGACTAAAATAATAAAACCAGGAATTGAGGGGTCATTTTGTATAAGCCCAAATTCATGAACAGTGTAATGATTTCCACGTGACTACAACCAAGCTTGCAGGCCCTAGTCAGGCAATCAAAACAAATTGGAAACCTCATCCTTTAGATGTAATCAAAGGTAAATTTCGATGCTGGCGAATAACTTTTCCATTTTGCCGCTGAAGCAATAGTCGTGTGTCATGCTCTCCAATTAGCAAAGGACATGGGTTTCAATCATATTACTCATCGCTTCAGGCAGAGGCAGAGAGACGAGCATTAGAACCCATAAGCATCAGAGAGTGGGTAATGCTTTGATCGATGCTTCGGCGGAATCCAAAGAATTTCCAGCAACCGAGGGCAGAAACAACTGCGTACAAGTAAGAAAAGTTTTCTTATTCTTCGTATCTCCTCTTCCGATTCTAATACATGCAAAGCACTGCTGATGATTTTTGCTGATGATTAACGATTTGTGAATCCTGTCCCCCCATTGGTTTACTGTACTGTCCGTCTCTCCCCCTTTTGTTCTTCATTTTGCAGGTATTTATAAGCTTCACCGGAGGAGTTTGCTTCCACTAAATCCCGAGATCATAGGGATTTAGTTGTTGACGAGGGTTTGTTGGTGACGCTCACGAGGTCCTTGCGCCGGATGATTCGGGGTTAGAGACCCACACACTCACGATGCCTGTTGCCATGAAGAACGAGGAGAGGCGTGGGGCGTTAGGGTTTCTGGTTCACTTGTCCTATTGGGCCACTTGCTGGGCAATGGAACACCATTGGGCCGTTTGATATTTTGGTCTTGTAATGGTCCTTTATTGGACCTGCAACATGTAATGAAACAATAAATAAATAATATAACACATAATATATATATAATATGCTTTATATTAAATATTATAATGAGATGAAATTTGGTGTCTATACTCGTATATCATTTTCTTTCTCCCCATCTCAAAGTCGTTATCTCTCCCCATCTCCTTCATTACTTCCCTCACTGTTGTTGTCATCATCCTCTCTTTTGTCATCCTCACCTTTTCTCATTTCCCAACTTTCATTCTCCCTCCTCTCATTGTCGTCGCCTCTTCTTATCTTCTTTTTTATTTATCTCATAATCATTGTCATCATCCTTTCTTTCGTCGCTCTCACCCTCTTCATCTACGATTACAATCACCATAACTCTTCCTCTGATTACAATGCTTCACTTTTAGACTGCCTTCGATTATTCCCTTCCAAAACATTCGTATAAAAATACGTATTAAATTTATAAATTTAAAAGATATTTAAATATGATCAATCGAATATTCATTTTCTTAATATCTTCAGTAGTCTTAGCTCAATTTAAGGGAATTACGAATAGTTAGGTATCATATCAGTTATATACTTAACGCGCGTGTGTGCGCATGTGTGTGTTGAGTCAGTCGAATGTAGATTTTTACTCAAAAATCAGACTAGATTTTGAATTGCGTAAAACCTTCTTAAATCTAAATCAAATTAGATGATAGATGAATAGAAAAAAAATCTAAAATTGAATTTGGGCCGATCAAAATCTAATTTGATTTGATCCGACCTATAACCATCCTTACTTTAAACCCTAAAATAATTTAATTTGATAAAATAAAAAAAATATTTGTTTTGGTTGGGGGAGGGGAATTTTCAATATTTTGGTCACCAAACATTTTAGAGATTCCAAATTGCAATTGGTTGGGTTGAATTTCAATATTATATAGAAAAAGAGGAAAATCACAAACGAGAGATTATAAAATATTAAATTATTTTTGTGATTATAAATCTAACCAAAATTAATGATTATAAAATATTAAATTAAATAATTAAATTTGATTAAACTAAGTCATTAAAATAAATTTGAATTCAACTAATATATACATTAAGATTTAATCTTAAATTTTAAAAATGTCCACAACGATCTTTTTGTGATTAAATAAAATGTTAATATCAATTATTGATTGGTCCGAGTCATATAAATAATGTTTGAAATTTAAAATTTAATGTTATAAATAAAGAAAAGGGTAAAGTAAACATATGGTTCTCGACTATGGGGTACTCGATTATAGGGTAATGTTTTATTAAGTCCCTCAACCATTAAAAGTTACAAAATGATCATTCGACTGTAGGATGTTACTTTGTTAAGTCTCTCGACTATTAAAAGTTATAAAATAGTCACTCGACTATTCATTATGTTCCAAACTAGTGGTTGTTTAAGCTGGACATTAACATGATGATTGAGGTATGATAATCGTTTGAAATTCTAAAACCAGATTTTATTATATCACGGTCAACATGCTAACGTTCAGCTCAAAATATCATCTATTCTTTAACGAAAAATTAGGAGTTTGGAACATAATGAACAGTTGGGTGATCATTTTGTAACTTTTAATAATAGAGGGACTCAACAAAACAACACTCTATAGTACGATGATCATTTTGTAACTTATAATAATCGAGCGACTTGATAAAATAATACCCTATAATCAGGGACCATTTGTATATTTTACCCTAAAGAAAATCATGTTTAAATAATTACTTTTATTATAAATTTTAATTATATTTAATCTAAATTAATCGATTAATAAATTAGTAATTATAAAATAATCAAAGTCCTTAAGTGGTATTGATTCAATGTTCATCAAACCAACATTTGTAGTTTATGCTTAACAACTAATCGACTTCTATACGGCGGCTTGTAAGAACATGTCAACCAAATATTTTCCATTAACTTGTTCGTCAATTCTAGTACAAAAAAGTCGTTGAATTTCACTATTAGTGCCTATATCATAAGTAAGTTATAGATTTAATCTTTATATTTTGATTTGGTCTTTTTAGTCCCCTTCCTTTTTACATTTCAAAATAAAATTTTAATCTTATACGAAAGATAATCGATAAATCTATTAAGTCTCGTCTTATGCAAAAATTGTAGATTTAGTTTGTGTTATATAATTTATCAATTTTAATCCACATAATTTAGTCACACCATTCCTACACCGTGTAGATCAATATTGAAATTCCAAAATCTGAAAGTACATAGACTAAATTTGATGAAAGCTAAATATTATAGATATTAAATCTATAATTTATATAAAGTACAAGGACTAATTATATAATTCCACCTTGATTTGGGTCGACAGATTTGTTGGGCAGTCAGATTAGGAATTTCGTCGTACCAATTATGTCTGCTATGCATAAAGTTTTGGTCTTAATCATAGTCTTAGATGCTACAATATCAAATATTTTTCAAATATTAAAAGTTCAAATAATGATTTAAAAAATAATAATTTTATTAGTTTTAAGTGATTACAAAATAATATATATTTGGAGTTTTTATTTAACAACGACATCTAGTTATTATATTTTATTTAAGACTTTTATTTATTTAATACTTAAATTTATTTATAATATCCAAATCCTACGGATCATAAGTTATTATATGTTTTACGATACTCAAATTCGTGATATTTTCAACGTGATAATAATAATATTATTAAATAATAAAACTCTAATAAACTTTTATTGAATTTTTTTAACCTGACAACTCAGTTTAAGTTATATATAATTAAATTATTTGTACGTGTACTTTTAAAAATAGTAAGTTTTTATATAATTTATCGATATTCAATTTATTTATTGATTAATTTAGATTCTATATTATAGATAATTTTTGTAATTTGATTCATTTCATGTATAACAATATAACATTATAATTTAAATTTTAAAATTAATTAATATCTATTAAAATTAATTAAGTAATATTACTAATTATTAATTTTATAAAAAACTATAAATATCTATAAATAAATCTATTACCTTGTGCCACAGTATTAATTTGTTTTTTTATTTTTATTCTCCAATTAAATTTCCCAAAGTTTTCTATTTTTATTTAAAAAAATGTTTTGCTTACGCTATTTTGACTTTGTGAAATTGACATAAAACGTTTTCTAGCTTAGTATAGCGTTGACATAAAACTCCATTGGCTATATATATATATATATATATTTGCATGGCTAATGTCGACAGTAGTGTGCAACCACAGTAAGAACAGAAGAAGAAGAAGAAGAAGGCGCGTTCTTGAATGACCAAAGCCATGAGCCAAACACTCTTTGACTGCCATGAAAACAAACAACAAAAACTACAGCAATCAAATTTCCCAAATCCCAGTGTGTACTGAGATTCCAAAGCGTTTTCGTGTTTACTTTATACATCCACCAGAGCTTACTTTCTTTGACCAACCGTGTCGTGTAAAGTATCCTTCTCCCTTTAAAAAGAATACTTTCAAAGCTGGCCTTTGAATTCATCAAATCCACTCGTGGTCTCGTTAACCCACATGAGCCTTAGAGCAGTTGAAATATACCCATCATATATATATATATACATACATACATTTCAAAGTCCTACTTGCCCTTTCTATGCAGGAATGTTGGGAATTTTTTAAGGTTTATTAGTTGGATTCCATATTAGCTTATCTTCCCCTGTGCATATATAATAAGATTTGGTCAGAGGATAAACATCTTTCTGAATTTGATCATCTTCTCCAAAGGGTTTTGTTTTGGAAATTAATCTTTTTCTGTGAGAACTTTATTCAACAGGCTGCATACAGGTAGATTTTGGTATTGATTTAATGTTTTACCTGATTATTTCTCTTCAATTATTGGAGCTAATAAGTTTGCAACTTGCAAGTGCTTTTCCTTTTAACATTAGCTTCAGCGTTTTTCGATTTTTCTTGTGATTTAATTGGTTTATGAATGATGTTGACGAGCAGGATCGAAGGCTTATGGGATTGTCTCTTTCGTTGCTTCAATCCGCCTGGAAACAAATTGTAAGTCACAGGTTCTTTGATTTGGCCTGTAACATCAGTCTAGATTCGAAACATGGGGAGGTTGTTTTCCGGGTGAATAGTTTCAAGAGAACGGATTCGGAGGCCGTGATCTATTCGAAAACCTGTGATGATGATCATGGGATGTTGCTTGAGAAGACTCTTTCGTTCAAGGGTCTGGTTCAAAGGAAACCATCATCTGCAGGTTCCACTGGGTTATCTCATAGGCCGATTCCTACACTTTCTCTACCCGAACCGACGATTTTGTTCTCTCCGAGACCCGCAACCGAGCTTGATGCGGCTGCCGTGAAGCTTCAAAAGGTCTACAAGAGCTACCGGACTAGAAGAAACCTCGCGGATTGTGCGGTGGTGATCGAGGAGCTATGGTGGAAGGTGTTAGACCTTGCGGAGCTCAAACAAAACTCCGTGTCGTTCTTCGAAGTCAAGAAACCGGAATCCGCCGCCGCACGGTGGGTTAGAGCCAAGACCAAAGCAGCAAAGGTACCTTGCCAAACAAGTTACAAACAAATAGTCGTATACCGACACTTTTATTCTTGTCGGAACTATCTTTCGGCAGTTTTTAGATCCTATTCCGACGGATCACCCGCATGCAACTAATACACATGTCTTCCTCCTTGATCGCAGGTAGGAAAAGGGTTGTCTAAGGATGAAAAGGCTAAAAAACTAGCCCTTCAACACTGGCTTGAAGCAGTAAGTTCTTTATAACTATATTACCTACCTGCATGCAACTCGAACTAGGGTTCCATTGCTAACTAGAACAAGACATTTCTAATTTCTTACAGATTGATCCACGACATAGATATGGTCACAACTTACACATGTATTATGATGTTTGGTTCTCGAGTGAAAGCTCCCAGCCTTTCTTCTACTGGTAATCATTAATTATACCCTTCAAAGTTTTCAAAATTTCAGTCTTATAGCATTCTAATGAAAGATTTTCATCATTCTCTTCTCTGATCTCGAAAAGGTTGGATGTTGGAGATGGGAAAGAGGTGAATCTCGACAAATGTCCAAGGAAAAAGCTTCACCAGCAATGCATCACTTATCTTGGACAGGTAGGTTTGAATATATGTATGTATGCATGTATGTATGTATGTATATTCGGTTATATATTTATGTCGTTTAAATGATTGATTTGCAGAAAGAAAGGGAAGAATATGAGGTAATAATTGAGAAGGGGCGGCTTGTTTATAGGCAGAACGGATCACCGGTGGATACGACGGCCGGTGAATCCAAGTGGATATTTGTCCTTAGCACAAGTAGAGCCTTGTATGTTGGTCAAAAGAGAAAGGGCAAATTCCAACACTCGAGTTTTCTCGCCGGCGGTGCCACCACGGCAGCCGGAAGATTAGTTGCTCGTGATGGGGTTCTCGAGGTACAAATTACTTCATGCATGCATGCATGCATATAATGTGATGTCCGTATGTAATCCTTAATGTTTTTGTTTTTCAGGCTATATGGCCATATAGTGGTCACTATCACCCAACGGAAGAGAATTTCATGGAATTCATTAGCTTCCTTGAGGAAAACCACGTTAATCTCACAAATGTCAAGGTAAAATCTCAAACATTACCAAAATACAGGGACTAACAGCATATTTCGAAACTTTTATTTGATAAACTTGCTCAGTTGGTCATGGTGCTTGTGTTACAGAGGTTCTCCATTGATGATGACAACTCGTACGGGCAGACCCCGGATAAAGAATCCGAACCCGAATTAGTAACCGGTCCCGACGAAACCCGAAAACCCAATGTCGACGACAAAGATGGCAGTGTCCGAGGGACAAGTACATGTACAAGCAGAGACAACCATCACAAAGATGGTAACATGAGCACCAATGATGCAGGTGCCAAGGGAGAAGTACCGAGGTTCAACATGGCGAATAGGCTGTCGTGTAAGTGGACGAGTGGTGTCGGACCCCGTATCGGGTGCGTCCGAGACTACCCGAGCGAGCTTCAATCGAAAGCACTCGAGCAAGTGAACTTGTCGCCGAGGGTAGTTCCGGGCACGGTGAAGTTGTTGGGCCCAATTCCTTCGCCCCGGCCCAGTCCAAGAATCCATCTTTCCCCTAGGATTGCAACTATGGGTCTGCCCAGTCCAAGGCCCATTGCGATGTGAGATAAGCCGGTTCATTCATTTTTTTTTACTTCATGATTTTGTAGGTTGTTAATTTATTTTTTTTAACAACTAAAGTTTATTGAGTAAGGTAATTGTTAATTATACTTGTGAGTAAAATGTGTTTTTTTATTAATTTATACTGTAAAATTAAATAAACACAATAATTAATAACTTTTATTTAATCTCATACACATTTCTTTTATCAATTATTAATATCATATTTATTAATCAATCAATTTAAATTGAATACTATAAACATTTCTTTTATAAATATTCATTTTTAATAGGTAAAAGAAAAGTAAATTAAATAAATATTTATTATTATTATTATTATTATTATTATTATTTTCAAATATATAAATTTTTTATAATAAACTTATGTCAGATTAAGTCAATTTTTTTTCACTTTTAGGGTACGTTTGGATGGAGTAATCTTACATTCCCGGTAGGATTATTTTTTTCCTGGCCAATGATACCCATATTTGGTTCAGTATGCTTTCCCAAGTAAAGGTAATATTTATTTCCCAACAGTGAATATTCCTGGGAATGTTATTCCCCCACACCCGTTAGGTATTATTTCATTCCATGTGTTAAGGGCTAAACTACCCTTGTTTTCCCGTTTCCATCGCACTCTGCCATTTTTTGTTTTTACCGCTGTCAGCTGTTTCCAGACACCAACATATATGTCTCTCTTCTCCTTCGCACTCTGTCATTTTCGTGATACAAAACCATCCATTTGTGTGCCATTTTTGCAGCAACATGCGTTTTTGAAATTCCATCGACTTTATCTCTGTTTGGGTGCCATTTTCATCTCTGTTTGTTGTTGTTGTTGTTGTTGTTGTTGTTGTTGTTGTTTCTGATTGAAAATCCATCGACTGTTGTTTTGCTGTTTTGAATCTGATTGTTTAGGTTTTTATCTCTGTTTTTTTGTTGTTTTTCTGTTTCGTGTAAGAAAGAAAGGGTTAAAAAACTAGTAAGACATGGCTTTAGACTCCAGAGGCACTGCTGTTACCTAAATTGGTTGATAAATCGATTTTCAAATTGAATTCTTCTTATTGATATAAATGGCCCTTGAATCCTTAATTTTCAGCCGACCCACTTTCATTTATTCAACAAAGTTCTCGTCTTTCCTGCTTCTAAATCAAAACTTGAAGAACTCATCAAAGTTTTTTTCCAAAACCAATCACTACCCAACTCTTGTTATCTCCACTTGCTCAAATCCCCGAGTTTTCAAAGCTTTTGGAGTGCCCAAAAATGGTGCTTTTGGACCAAGGGATTGCTGAGGGAAGAAAAGAAAGATGTGAAAACTGAACTGAATTTGAATTTGGTGAAAAGGGGTATTTTGGTGGCATTGGTTTGTGGTGTATTGGTGTTTGAGTGCAAAAGAGTTTTCGCTGTGGAGGGAGTGGTTAATGCTGGTTATGGAGTGATTGGGCAATGCATATTGTTATTAAGGAATGCTTGGCCTAAAACACACACACATATTTAATATGTTCAATAAACTCCAATGTATAAATTTGTTAGTACAAGTTAAAAAGTTGAGTCCAATCGTTTTCTAATCTATTCCAGATATAGGTACAGTCAGACCTAAATAAAAGTCAAGCTCTTAGTTTCCTTCACTTCACCTTCAAGAAGATATAAATGAAAATTTTCATCCTTTCTAATCCTATAAAAGATTCATGTATTATCTCACTTATCAAATAAAACTAAGGTTGACAAATAAAATCAAAAAGAAGGTAATTTTTAAAGTACCACCTTTTGCCTTTAGATCCCCATCTAAGAAATAATGTACCATGGTTTATTTAAAATAAAATGTATTTTTTATCAATTTTCTCTTGAATTGCTTAATGTTGTTAATGAGTTTATAACTTGTTTTGTTGATCCAAAGAAAATAAGCAGTACATTAGTTCCTGGAACATTGACGATATACAGAAACATATCTATGTATACCTTTTCAATGAAAAAAATAGAATAAGATATAATTCACCAATTAATCAAATATATCTCATTTTTAATGTATTTTCCAATATCATTTTGAAGATTCCAATATTAAACTGATAACTTTTTTTGTTAGAACCAATATTTATTTCTCAGGTGAAGGCAGATATGGATGGGTATAATGAGCTGTTTATAAATACAACCTCCACTAAAAGATAAGGAAATATATCATTTGAAACTTCTCTAGCATAAGCATAAAGCAAAAGAACATATCATTTTCAGGAACTCACCATGTCATTTATCTCTACCTCGACAAATGGTTTGCCATCCATAAGCATGCTCCATTTGAGTTTGATAATTTGCACAGAAACTCGCATGGAACAAGATGGAGTTTCATTGGAAACGAGTAACAAAACAATTGAATAAGAGAGAAGACAAATTATTATGCATAAATGAAGTAATAAACAATGTACCAATAGAAATACTGTACAACTACTATTGAATTAGAAAAACTGTTTGTTGTATATTTGGGGGGTGTATGGTATGAGATAACAAGAGCATAGATGTTAAGTACATTTAAATTCTACATGAACAAAAACTAAAAGCATCTAATTTTGATAAGACAAGCATCTGATTGATAAATAATAAACTGCCTATTTCCTATTTATCTATAATGCTCTATAATAATCAACATATTTACATGCCAAATCATACATTACAGATAAGCATGAGCACCTCTGATAAAGCACATTCCTAATTAGAGTAAAACAACATGGAATTTTAACTCAAAGTCTTAGCACAACATAGACAGTATTCATATGAAAATAAAAAAATGAGACTATGAAAATTTAACTATAGAAAAACTAATAAAAAAATCACTAAACAAGCGTCATTTCCCCAACCTTGCAAAACATGTTAATTGAAAAATTACGAAGAAACTCATGCTGAAATATTTGTGGAGGCTTGATGTCAGTTTTATGTCCAGGAAGAGACCAGTTGTGCTTTATAGGAGGACGAACGACATGCCTTTCCTTTTTAAGAATTTTAGATTGATCTGCTGTATTAGATGATCTTTCATGAGATTAACTTCCAGCAAACCCAACTGAGAGTTTAGGAACTAGAAAATTAGCCATGGCACCAAATGCACTAGAAGTGGGAGGTGCGGCTGTTTCATTTTCGAGGCCGATTTGTTCAAAAACAGTATGCATAGAACCAAATGCACTGGAATCGTATGAATCAGAAACTTGTTTTGTTTTATACCATAAATGATCATTCAAATACCTGTAAATAATCATACCTTGATTGCCAAAGAGCTCAGTAACTTGTTGAACTGTATTGACATAGTTGCTCTTCTATCATCATTTTGTTATAGTACCATTTTTATTGTGTTCAATTATTTTTATTGTGATGACAAACAATTGTTCTTGTTAAATATTATTATTTTCTAATATTAAAATGTTTGTTCATAATAACAGTTATGGCTCGTTTACCAATGCGAAAGAAGACGCATATCGCCACAATTCTTATTTTACAACTGCAAATGATGGAGATTGTGTGTCATATGGTTATGGTTATTTCAGTTATTCTTAGAAAATATAAAAATCGACCTAAAATAACTTATGCACATGAAAGACTTCATAGACATAATATTAGATCACTTAATTTACATAAAATTGTATTTGAAAGTGATCGACAAAGTGTTGATAATTGTCGAATGGATATGAGAGCATTTATCAAATTGTGTCACCTATTACAAAGTCAATGTGGGTTAAAAGAGAGTCGATATATGTCTATAAAAGAAATGGTTATTACTTTCCTTCATATTATATCCCACCATATTAAGATTAGAGTTTTAAAACGTCAAACAGTAAGATCTGGTGAAACAATTAGTAGAGTTCTCCATACAGTGTTAGCTTCAGTCTTGAAACTGCATTCAATCCTTTTTAGAAAACCAGAACCGATACAAGATAATTCAATAGACGATAGATGGAAATGGTTTAAGGTATTGTATCATAATTCTGAACTTTCTTTTTAGTTAGTTAGTAATGCTTAATACATAAATGGATAGTAATAATGCAATTTAACTTTATTTAATGAATATAGGGATGTTTGGGTGCTCTAGATGGAATGTATATTAAGGTCAATGTAGTTTCAATCGATAAACCTAGATACAGAACAAGAAAAAATGAAATTGCGACAAATGTACTTGGTGTTTGCACACCAAACATGCAATTCATTTATGTTTTACCTGGGTGGGAAGGTTCTGCAGCTGATGGTAGAATACTCAGAGATGCCATTAGTAGAAGAAATGATTTAAATGTTCCACAAGGTAAATTATTAGGTCATTAATATATATATATATATATATATATAAGAATGTAAAATTCTTACAAGTTTTGTATATTAATTTACTTTTTAAATTAAAATAATATAGGATGTTACTACTTATATGATGTTGGATACACAAATGGAGAGAGATTTCTTGCACCATATAGAAGTCAAAGATACCACTTGAATGATTGGAGAGAATGACACCAACCTACCACCCCTCAAGAATATTTCAACATGAAACATTCTCAAGCTAGGAATTGCATTGAGAGATGCTTTGGCATATTGAAAGCGAGATGGGCAATTTTAATGGAAAAATCATTTTATCCAGTGAAAACACAATATAGACTTATTTCAACTTGTTGTCTTCTCCATAATTTCATAAGATCTGAGATGCCAATCGATCCTATTGAATCTAACTATACTGAAGATAGTAGGCATGTTGAAGAGATTAATGAAGTAGAAATGATCAGACATTGTGAGCCAAGCAGTGCTTGGACTAAGTGGAGAGACAAATTAGCAGAAGATGTGTTTACTAGTTGGTTGGCGTTGCGTACTTTAGAATATATGTTATTTTATGTTATGTATGACTTCCACCTTCTATTTTATCTAATTTTAGTGGTCTTTACTTTCATGTATTTGACATCTTTATATTTTATGGCATAAACTTTATTAAATTTTATGTATTTTTCTTCTATAAAATTTGAATTTTATTTGTTATGGACATTCATTACTTAT